AGGGTATTAAAAATTCGGCAAATTTAGTTTCTAACATTTGATCCGAACACTAACTTTTGAAAATTGTCATAAGCGTCCAAAAAATATCATTTTGCACTCCTTTTTCTTTATTTTTCACTAAGGCCTTATTGTCTAGGATCGAATTAGAACATGTTAACTCTTGAAGGTAGAATATAGATTACTCATTAAGAAAACTTATCCATTTCAATCATTCCGCTAAAAAAATGAGAGAATTAGTGCCACGCCATGATCTGAGAATCCTCTACAAACATGCTAACATTTGGAACACCAAAACATGAAGGGAAAATCAATAAACAAGGAACCACAAAGTCCACATTAGATAATCAGCGGATAGATAGTTTCTAATAAATACAAGTTCACTATTGAAAACTGAAACCAATTAAATTTCCTTTATTCAATCCTTCAAAAGAAATTTGAAAATTGAAAACTAAAAATTCTAAGAGAAATGATGTCAACGCTTCAGTTTTCTAACTGTACACACATGTATTTAATCTTGGTCGTTGTTTTTGTTTCATTTGTTCATGCACTGGTTATATAATAATGATGTGTGTGTAGTAGGAGAGACAAGTGTGTGGTTATTATTTCCCAAAAGGTTGGGGAATAAGTTGGTATCGAATTCGTCATTCATGAAATTCGAATATAAAATCTCTTATTTACAATTAAACAGGAATATCACTAAATCGCAGTACTAAATGACTTTATTTCTCAAAATTAAAAACTAAAAATTTAGGTTATCTAAAAATTTAAGTTGTCAAACGAACTCTTATTTTTTCGGATTATGCTGTATGTTTCTGTTTCTATTGTTTTATGTCCTGATTAAATATGCTTTGGATCTCACATAATTAAAGGTGCAGAAATCGACGTCCCTTTTTTGTAGACGGTATATACAATGTTGTTTCTTTCAATGAGCTAGGGGAGCTACGGACTACAAAAGAATCCAAAAAAATAGTGATTCTAAACATACAAGAAGTTAAGACGGTGGAGAAATGGGCGGTGATAGTGAACATAATAATTTGCTCAGACCATCACTCTTCAAGACTTGAAGTCAAGTCAACAAAGGGTGCATTTGTTGCACAAGACTGTCTTGGACTAGATTAGCTTCAAGGATCAAGATGGATTCAGGGGCGGAGGGACCATAGGACCACAGTAGTCCTAGGCCCATCCTGCTTTTGTTTATAACTAAAAATTAGTACTACTTATTATTTTATTATTTTCAGTTAAATCATTCCTATTTCCTAAACAAACTATCCGGTCCTCTTTAAATATTTTAAGAATATCCGGCCCTTTTTAAATAACCCTAAAGCCTACCTATAACCTATTCCAACTTCCAACACTTCATCTTCCATTCATTTTTCCAATACTAAAAATTAGTATTTTATTATTCTCTAATTCTAGCCGACTGTTGCTCTGCTGCTAGTTTGAAAAAAATAGTCAGAACACTGCTTCTCTCAGTCTGATCCCTCCCGTGGTACACAAGCCATACGCTGCTTCTCTCATCTATAGCATGTCACAGTCTTCAACCAGTCTATCAATCTATCAGTCTTCAATTTCCATGATCCTCAAGAGTATGAACTTCGAATCTCCATAGTTGTCATTTTCAATATTTTTTTTTACAATTTGCTAATTCATATATGTTGTCATCTACAATTGTAAATTAATTTAACAAATAATATTTTTTTTTGCAGATTAAAGAATTCAATTATTCCATCATTCCATAAAAAAGACATTGAAGTTTAGTTAATTGGTCAATAACCCAAAGTATGTATTTTACTCTCAATTCCTGTTACAATTTTTTGTTTATAAATTATGATTAAATTGATGTCTTGCAATTTCTCTTAACTATTGCCTAATTTGTTTTAGTTTGTAAAATTAGCATATATGTTCATATTTCTTTTAATTTAAAGTTAGTGAGTCTATGTTTTTTTACTTTTCAATTATGGAAAGATATTTCAAAAGAAAAACACAACCTGAGATATTAGAACCGTCTCCAAAGAGTCCAAAGAACAATAAAAGTAGTTCAAAACAAACTTGTGTGGATTCTATGGAAATTAACTCGGAAACTCTCCAATATGATCCTTTTCATATATATACTATGATGTTTTGGTTACTTTTCATATATATACTATGATGTTTTGGTTACTTTTCATATATATACTATGATGTTTTGGTTAACACTTTTGTAACTACTATCGATTTAATTTTTTTTTAATATTTGTGAGAGGCCCCTCCTAACCCGAAATCCTGGCTCCGCCACTGGATGGACTGGTTTATACTAGACTAAACTGGACTGACTTAGTGAAACGTTTGATGCAGTATCGGACTAAGAAGCATGATTATAATATTATAATATTTAATTTATATTTATTAATATTTTATTTTTAATTTACTATATCAATTAATATTTTTTTATTGCTTTATATTTTTCCCTATTTTTCTAGAACTGTCTCCCCTTTTCTCTTCATTCTTTTTTCTCACCGCCTCTCCCTCCCCATTCCCATTTTCTCCCATTTTTGTCCCTCCTTTTTTTTATTGCAAATCTTCTGCCTCTTCACTTCATCTTCTTCACCTCCTGCCTCTGCACTTCACCTCTCCCTCCTACCTCTTCACTTCCTCTCACAAAATCACTTGCAAATCTTAAAATCAAAACAAAGGGCAAGAAAGAGATTGAAGGTGGTGGGCTACATGTGTGATTGGCTCAAAGGTGGAGGATAAGGGTTGGATTTGATTTGGGTTTTCTGGGTGTATGTGTGATTGAAACAACCATGATCATCCCACTGCATTTTTTTTTAATTTTGGATTTCCTGGGTTTTTTAAGTTCGAATTTTGGGGTTTTCTGGGTTATCTGGGTTCGAATTTTGGGAGTTGATTCTGGTTTTGAATAAGGAACCACTGCAAATTTTTTGCATTTTTTTTTATTTTGCGGGATCTAGGTTTGAAAAGGGTTGTGGGCCACGAGATAGAAGCAGATGGAAGGAACGAAGTAGGGAAGGGTGAAGCGAGCAGATTTGGCTTAGTAGTTCGGCCAATTTCGGGGGCCTCACTAAGACCCTTCAATGAAGCTTTTAGTTCGACTTAGTCTAGGTGAGTCTCATTAAACATAGTCCTGGCGTGAAACAAACACGGGACTAAGTCAAGGTGTAAACCAGTCTAGTCCAAGGAAGTTTAGTGAAACCAAACAAACGGCCCCAAAATGGATAAGAATGGTAAACAACTATCCTTAGTAGTGCCGTGATTAAAAAAAAAATCTCTCGTATGCGCGTAAGTAGTGCGGAGAGACTAGTTTATAATTATATATTTTCAAAATGGTGAAACATTTAAGTTGCCCTTCTAGAATTTCAAAAATTACAATTGCACCAAAAAGAATTAAAGTAATTCACCACATTTTAATTTTAAAATGAATTTGAAATTCAAAATTTAGGGAAAAAGAAATAACAAAAACAAAAAACTCCCACGTTAGTGGGTGATTTCTTGGTTTGCTTCATTTCTTTTTTGAATAATTTTTAATAAAATTATAAATTAGTTATTTGAATAATAAATTAAAAGGCTAATTGGCAAAGGGAGGCTAGTATTTTCAGGAACTGTGCATCGCTCTTCTCCGTCCTACTTTTCTCCATGTACTTTACTTATTCATAAAAAATAAAAGCTAAAAACTATAAACAAAATGGATGAATCGGTATTACGATAAGATGATATTCCTCTTCACTTGAAAATGAGAGGTCTTAGGTTTGAATCTTGTAGATGACGAATTCGATACCAAATCGGATTGTCCATTGTGTGGTTTAACCGAAGTCCCCTTCCCCTAGTATACAAATATCGATATACTAAAAAAAATTAAAAAATGGATGAATCGGTTAGAGTGTAAGCTTACAATTTTTGTGAATATGACGAAATAATTATTGAGTTTCGCATGATCTTTTATCTGTGAAGTCAAGAAAATGTTGTAATCCATTTGAACCATCTCTTCAATATATAGGTGATACTTGCCTGTATTGTGAATTATACATTTATTTGACAGATGATTTAGATGTGGTATACGAAATACGATTTCTACAGCATTTTTTCTTTTTAGAATTAAAATGTAGTCCCTCTAGTCTCACTCACATAATGGTGCCAATTAAAAACTACGACCATCACTTATGTGGGTCCAGTTTATTAACCCTTGTATATATGTATATGGAAGACTTTGGATGCAGTCTCTAATTGTCAATATTCTTTTATTGAAACCTTATTTGTATTCAGTTTTTTACCGAAATCCCTAACATTAATGTAATAATGTTATATTAATATGTAGGTAATTATATATTTTTTAAATTAAAGTTTGAAAATTGTAGTTGTTTATATTAATGAGATTTTAAAGAAAACCTATAATTTATGGGAAAACATTAAAAGACAATTATACTCTCCAATATGTTATACATGGGTATTCATTAAAATTAATCAAAAAATTATTGTAACAAAACATGTACCACCACACCAACAAAAATAGTCATTAGGCTTAATAACATAGTAAATTTCTTTGATTAAACTTGATATGAAACATTTTCAAATCAATGTAAAAGAATGTACTCATATCAACTTATAAAATGGATTAGAAAAAAAAATTGAATAGATTTTAGACAAAAAAAAATATTGAGCACAAACCACAAGCTGGTGACCCAGTGGTAAATAACGGATTGCAAGGCCTTTTTCAAATTAAAAACTGGAAGTCTTGGGTTCGAAATTCGCTGCTGGTGTGGAAGTCAAACTTGTGGCTAGGGGGAGGCTGAAATGCCTCTATGTGTCTTCCCGACCCCTAGAATGGGTGGATAACCATGGTTTGCCACCAGTTGTCTTTAAAAAAAAATGGGCACAAACTTATTCCAATTTTTTTATTTTGGAAATGTTTTGAATTGAAAATTAATTAAGAGTTTAATAAAGGTCTAAGTATAATTAAAACCCTAAATCAATTAATATCATTTTAAAAAATTATGTAACTTTCATGTAAATTCATTAATAAAATACATTAATGCTAGGAACTTTCGATCAAAATATGAAAACTAATAAGGCCTTAGTTAATGAACTTTAGTAACTAGGGACCGGTTACTAATTTTTCATATATGTATAATATCCTTGAAGATCATTTCTGAATGAGTCGGTGTTGTGCTGGGTCTTTTGGGGGTACTGTTAGAGGTGTATAATGCTCCGACTCGGATGACAGGATGAGAATTTGCATGATAATTCCAATAAGAACCAAGAATGTTGCTGAAAATGCAATGCCTTGCCATGAGGTTAGGAGGGCAGACCACTGTACAAATTTGTAAATTCCATAGGCGAGGAGGATTGACCAGAATACGACGACCTATATAGTTGTAACAAAAGAAATATATGGAAGTAGGGTGAGAAAGAGGAAGTAATCGTGATTTAGGCTAGTTGGTCAAGGCAATGTCTCATATCCACCCCCTTGCACACTGAGTTTGAAACCTCCTCCTCCATTGATTGAAATAAAGTAATAAAGAGAAAAATGGTAATTTAGTCAATTGAAGAATCTTACAATTAAGGACTTGATAGGTCTGCCAATGTTTTGAAGTTGTTGGTCACTGAATAAGCCTTTGGCAAAGTACTTCTCTAATAAGGCATCCTGGTAGTTGGAAAATTGAAAAGGAAGAAAAGAGCATCAAATATATAGTCACGAGGAAGGGCATTGTGGCTCAAGTAGTTAAGATCATTCATTCACCCTGCACTTGAGGTTCTTTGTTCAATTCCCCTTTCACCAAATATTGCTTGTATGAGAAGTTTTCAAGCATAAGAAAATTCCAGATAAGAAGAGAAAATAAAAGAAAGGTTGTATCAATGACTATACTATACCTTGGTAACAAACACATCTTTACACCACTGTCCAATTCCATCAGCAGTTTCTGGCAACTCCCGCATTGAGTGTCTCCTGATTTGTAATTTTACCTGCAACAATCAGAACTCCTTATAGTTAGTAACATTATTTTCGAACCTTTTCCCACAACTGTTGGCCTTAGCTCTACATGCAAATGGATAGAGTTTTTTTAACATAAGCGTAAACACCATAATCAATGTTAGAATCTGTAAAATTTAGTGGTATATTTGTAGCAATTCAACATAGAGAGGAAGAAGATTTAGAGAGAGAGAATGAAGAGATAGAGAGAGAGAGAGTGCTCAAAATCTCAGAGTGAGCTAGAATGCTCTTCTGCGTGTGTTCATTTCATCACACCAGCAATTACATGATCGTTAGAAAGGAAGAGACTTTAGGAGAGCCTATGAGCTCATCCAACCATTCATTACAAGACCCTATGAGATATTGTCACTTGTTCACATTTGAACCTAATACAATTTGATCTAATCTCAGCCCTTGATCACTAACAACTTTATTTATTCAAACTAACAACTTGCTACAAATAAAGAAATGACAATTTAGACCTTAATCAATCAACACTTCCTTCTAAGGTCTTAAATGAAATTACTCCAAGCTTGTCCCTCAAGGCACATAATCTATCTTTAGCCAAAGCCTTGGTGCTCACTCTTGTAGAATTGTAGATCAATTATTTCTTCTTGAATTGCATCCCTGATGAAATGAAACTTCCGTTTGATGTGTTTGGACCTCTGGTGAAACACAGGATTCTTTGACATGGCAATTGTAGATGTGATGTCACACATCAAAGGAGTTGGTTCAATCTATTCTTCACCAAAGTCATGCAACACAAATCTCAGCCATATGGCTTAAGTAGTAGCTTAAGAAACACTCATATACTCGGCTTCTACAGTTGATAGTGCAACACTTTGTTACTTCACAGAGGCCCAAGAGAATGCACCACTACCAAAGCTAAAAGCATAGCCTAATGTGGATTCATGTCATCTTCATCCCCACTCCAATCACGTCACAGAAACCTATGAGCAAGGCTGCATTTCCCTTATTATACTTGATTCCATAATCCACAGTTCCTTGCACATATCTTAGGATTCTCTTAGCAGTGCCAAGATGCTTGGTGGAAGGGCAGTGCATGTATCTGGCAAGTACACAAGCTAAGTGCATGATGTTAAGCCTTGTTCCAGTCAAATATAAAAGATTGCCAACAATGCTTCTATACAATTCTTCATTTGCAAGTCCACTCCCATCATCCTTTCTTAACTTATCAGTGAGAGGTAAAGGAATGGAGACATATTTACAGTTTTTCAATCCAAATTTGTCCAGTAGGCTCAATGCATACTTCTTTTGGTGAATGAAGATGCTCCATTCTTGTTGAATTACTCCAATTCCAAGGAAATGATGTAACAAACCTAAATCTGTCATCTCATACTTGCTCATCATATCACATTTGAAATCTTCAATCATCTGAGAACAAATTCCAGTGTAAATAATGTCATCCACACATATGGAGACAATCAGTGTTCCCTGTCATTCCTTATGCTTCACATATAGGGTAGCCTCACTTGGACTCTTTTCAAATCCACATTGCAGCAAATAAGTGTCAATGTTGTTATACCAAGCTCTGGGAGCTTGTTTTAGACCATACAATGCCTTTCCCGGCTTATCAATTTATCCGGTAAACTACTGGGGGCTCATGTAGCCCATGCCGGATTAATCGTATTCTGGGCCGGAGCAATGAACCTATTTGAAGTGGCTCATTTCGTACCAGAGAAGCCTATGTATGAACAAGGATTAATTTTACTTCCTCACCTAGCTACTCTAGGTTGGGGGGTAGGTCCGGGTGGGGAAGTTCTAGACACCTTTCCATACTTTGTGTCTGAAGTACTTCACTTAATTTTCCTCTGCAGTATTGGGCTTTGGCGGTATTTATCATGCACTTCTGGGACCCGAGACTCTTGAAGAATCTTTTCCATTCTTCGGTTATGTATGGAAAGATAGAAATAAAATGACTACAATTTTGGGTATTCACTTAATCTTGTTAGGTATAGGTGCTTTTCTTCTAGTATTCAAGGCTCTTTATTTTGGGTTTCAACTTATACACCTTGTGTTCTTCCCCCTTTACAACATACCCATCTGGTTGGTCTATGTACATTTCTTTTTCAAGGATCCCATTCAGAAAAGCAGACTTCACATCTACCTGAAACAATCTCCATCCTTTCTGTGTTACCAAAGCAATAAGAGTCTTTATAGTGTCCAATCTGGCCCCTGGTGCAAAAGTCTCATTTAAATCGATTCCAGGCCTTTGAGTGTACCTTTTGGCAACTAATCTTGCCTTGTGTTTCTGTATAGTGCCATCCAGATTTAGCTTGGTCTTAAAAATTTACTTTACTCCAACAATGGGTTTATCACTTGGTCTGTCAACCAATTCACAGGTACCATTCTTCTCAATCATAGTGATCTTATCCTCCATTGCTTTCTTCCAAGCTTCATCTTAAGAAGCTTCCTTGTAGTTTTCAAGGTCAATGACACTAAGCCTGCACTGAGCAAACGCTTCATTCAAATTTCTCCATTTCCTTGGTGTGTTGTCATAAGTATCTATGAGTTTGATCTCACTTTCCACATTCACATCATTAGAAACATCACTGTGTACACCAGGAACACACTCATCACCTGTGTTTGGAAAGTTTGACTCAGAAGAACCAATGTTAGATTCCTCACATACACCATTTTCAATCTTAGTTATGCTTATACCCTCATTAGCTTCTAAGTAGGGCAGTAGGATATGCACTGTCTCCATATTCTCCCAATTAAGCACTGCATCTTCATAAAAATGGCACTTTTGGAAACAATGATCTTGTTGCTTTTCAGATCATACCCCCTATAGCCCTTCTATCTTGTCCTATATCCAATAAACACACATTTCTGTCTAGTTTCATCCATTTTTTGCCTTAAATGGGTTGGCACATGAGTGTAGCATACATAACCAAAGATTCTCAAGTGCTTTACTCCTGGTTTTCTACCATAAAATTCTTCAAAGGGAGTCTTGTTCTCCAATGCCTTTGTAGGACACCTATTAAGTAAGTAGACAGCAGTGTGAACTGCTTTATCCTAAAACTTGAGTGGTAACTTTTTTTCATAGAGCGTGGTTCTTGCCATCTCTACAATAGTACGATTCTTCCTCTCAGAAATGCCATTTTGCTGGGGAGAATAAGCAATAGTGAGCTGCTTTTCAATGCCAACATCTTCATAAAACTTTTCAAATTCCAGAGATGTATACTCTCCTCCTCTATCACTTCTAAGTTTCTTCAACTTGTAGCCAGTTTGTAATTCATCCATCGCCTTGAACATTTTAAAAATTCTGAATACCTCATACTTAGACTTCAAGAAATACACCCTGCACATTCTTGAATTGTCATCGATGAAGGTAAGGAAGTATCTGCTACAACCAAGAGTCTCACTCATAGGTCCACACACATCTGTGTGTACAAGTTCTAGTGGAAATGTTGCCCTCCATCTCTGTTCCTTGTTGAAGGCCTATCTGTGAGCCTTTTTAGTGGCACATCCTTCACACACCTGATTGTATTCCTTCAGATAGGGCAGACCATACACCATGCACCTTTCTTGCAGCTTTCTCAAACCGTCATAGTTCAAATGCCCAAATCTTCTATGCCATTTCCATGTATTGCCTTCAATAGTTGCTTTATTTGCTACAATGTGATCCACATATTCAAACATTAGTGGGAAGCATCTATTTCCCTTCATTTTCATTGTGGCAACATGGTCTTGTAGTTCCTTGTCACCAAATATGCCAGCCATGAAATCACCAAATACCAGCCAATAGCTATGTTCTACCATTTGGCCTACATTGAGAACATTCTCATCTAAACCAAGTACAATCATGACTTTTGGTATGAACCTTGTTCTTCTCTTAGTCTACACTACCAAAATGCCTTTGCCAATTGAATCAACCAAGTCTCATGTGCCCATTTCACCTTGCACCTTATAATCTTGTCAATGTTGATAATTAGGGATTCGGTACTAGTTATGTGGTTACTGCAACCACTGTCCAAATACCAAACACCACTATTTCCTTGCACAGAGGCCTTATGGCAAGCATAGAACATCATTGCGTTGTCCTGAACATGGTTCAAATAGTTGGCATTATGTGTTTTCTTAGGCTGATTACAATCTTTTCACTACATGTCCAAATCTGTAGCAGTTATGACATTTAGGTTTTCCCTTAAACCAACACTTTCCATAGTGAGCCTTATCACATATTTTGCATTTTTGTTTAACACCCTCAGAGATCTCACCCAGTCTCTCAGTCTGGTGAGTTTTGTTTTCCCATTTCTTAGGCTTAGACTTTCAATTTTTCTTTCTCTTACTGTGATTTCCCTGAGCCAATAACCTATTTTGTGGTTTTGACCCAAGACTCGTGCTAGAGAATGCATGCCCTGGGCTTGCAACATCATCTTCATGTCCACTCAACCTAAGTTCATAGCTCTTAAGAGATCCAACTACCTCATGTATAGTCATAGTATTCAAATCAGAAGTTCTTTCAATCACAACATAGATTGGATCATATTTACTTGACAAACTAATCAAAACCTTTTGAACCTTTATTTGATGAGTGAGGATCTCACCATAAGATTTCATTTGATAAATTAGTTCAAACAGTCTAGTAAGATAGGCAAATAGAGATTCATTTTCCTTCATCCTCATATATTCAAATTCATGATGTAAACTTTGAAGTTTGACAAACCTTGCCTGTTCATCGCCACGAAATTCCTCTTGGAGTAGATCCCAGGGTCTCTTGATTCACAATTCGAGGGAAGATATCCTTAGAAACTGCACTCTGAAAAATTCCAGTGCTTTAGCATCTTTCATGAATTGATCCTCCATATGGGCGATAAACGCATCGTCGTCTCCTTCATCATTGTTTGATGAGGATGAGTCTTCTTCGCCTTTCTCCTTCTTTGTTTCCCCTTTTTCTTTCTTCTTCTTTGACTCTGGAGCAACAATTCTTTTGTCGACCAGTTTCCAAATCCCATACGATTTGAAAATGTTGACCATTCTTACTTTCTAGAATTTGAACTCTGTTCCATCAAAGATGGGAGCTCGCAAATCACTGCTTCCAGACCCAGCCATTGTAGCTTGAATTGGAATGAAATCAAGAGTTTTCTTGTTGGATTCTCTCGCACAATTTCACAGAAATCGACTCCCAGTCCGAGATCGAACCTAGGCTCTCGATACCATGTTAGAATCTGTAAAATTTAGTGGCATATTTGCAGCAATTCAACACAGAGAGGAAGAAGATTTAGAGAGAGAGAATGAAGAGATAGAGATAGAGTTCTCAAGATCTCAGAGAGAGCTAGCATGCTCTGCTGCGTGTGTTCATTTCATCACACCAGCAATTACATGACTGTTAGAGAGGGAGAGAATCTAGGAAAGCCTATGAGCTAATCCAACCATTCATTACAAGACCTTATGAGATCTTGCCACTTGCTCACATTTGAGCCTAACACAATTTGATCTAATGTCAGCCCTTGATCACTAACAACTTAATTTATTCAAACTAACAGCTTGCTACAAACAAGGAAATGACAGTTTAGACCTTAATCAACCAACAGGCAAGACCACGCAGAAGCATACATCGGCATGTTCAGGCCATCTAGCACGAAATGTCGTCATGTCTGCACTGTTTAGTTTTTGCATATCCATGAGTACTTTGTATCGTCCTTAATTTCTTTTCCAAGTTTTGCTGCATCCTTAGTGTTTATTGTGGTTATATACTAATAACCGTTTCACGTCATGTATGCATAAAGTTGATATAATTTCAATTCATTCGTCCAATCACATGTTGTGGTTACAGCTAACAAGTACGTCCTAAATGACCCGATTCCACTAATTTGGTCATATATTGAAGGAGTAGTTTGAAAAGAATCTTAAAATAGATAAAATGACATCGGAAGGTAGACTGAGTACCGAAAGTGTGATGTTCTCCACACGAGATTAATGTTGCAGTAGCAACAAATGGTTAATAACATCTAATCACAAGTTCATAGCAAGTAATTTTATTAGCATATGCAGAAAGAGTTATGTTGCCCTACCACAGAAGATTGCCGTCTTAATATTTTCAACAATGTAGGTGGTGGCTGATTGTTGGGGACGGCCACTGTACAGTCATAAATTGCCGGAACAAATGAGCGCATGTTACTTACTAATGAAACAAACCCCTGCAAGTACGAAAATTAAAATTCAGAAAAAGACAAAGATAATGAAGCTAAAAACATACATCTCAACAGTTCTGCATGGCAAGGCGTCATCTTAGCATTATTGCTCTTTGATTTATTTTAACGCCCCGTTAAAAGTATCTAGAAAATAGCAGTTCTGCCAAACTTCACTTTTAAATACATTATAATTACCTTCGTCCGTGGAAGCAAGACGTTCCTAGGAATTGGCAACCCTCTGGAAGCTGCAAACTCTTGAGCTACCATTAGCTTTGCCTGTGTAAATCGCGTTCCTTCTACAAAGAGAGCCAACCAAAATGGGCCGGGGAAGTCCTCTAGTCTTCGGAAACATGACTGTAATGAAGAACCCGTGAGTTATACCATGACAAAGAAGAAGACTGTGTCAAATATATGCATATAAGCAAATTTAAATGTACCTTCAACGTTTTTTCATCTTTCGTCCATTGCCTTTCCAAGAAGACATATTCAGAAAACCACATTGACCAACCTATGAACTGTGTGCATGTACCATATTATCAACCCTCACCGAAAGATTTATCACTTTACAAAATTACATTAATGAGTAAAAGAAAGGGAATTGCAACAAGTTGATAGCAATTGGATTGAGGAGAGTGACAAGAATTCAACTAAATAACCGAATTCGTTATTCTATTAAAAAAAAAAAGTTTATAAATCATAGTTTGCAATGAAAATAACTTAATCTGGCCTAATTGATACTTCAACACGTATTCTGGTTTTCTTAAATCCCAATTACAAAAAGCATAAGTAAATACATACAACATAAATCCATCACTAACTTCATAGGAACAGAAAGATACATGCTGAGTAAAAACTCACTGGGATGAACATTATCTCTTTCTTCATGATGGCTAGTGTGCTACCAAGGCAACCTGAGCGCTGTTTGCAACATATTAATACCGATAAATGAACTAGAAATAAAAAGACGCAAGAGGTTAATAAATTTCTAACTCTGCCAACTTAATTTACTTGAAATCCATTTTCATGACAACGGTGAGGTCTGAGGTGTTTTGAATAAAGGGAAAAGAACAAAAAACACACAGGAGACAGCGTGAATAGATGGTTTTGTGGAAAAGTATTTTGAGGTTAACAGATGAAGTGCAACAAGGAGATGCGGGAAGATCGCAGACCCTATGATGGTACCTTGCTTTTTATGAAGCCAGAAAATTATCTGCTTTAAAAATACTGTCAACAGTTGAATTATATTATTGCTAGTCCATTGTGAGGTTTCGCCTACTCCTCTCTCCCTTAAAGTAGATAATATTGTTTGTTAAAAAAAATAAAAATACTGTCAGCAGTTAGCAGCTTGTTTAACATCATACAAGTGACTGCTAGAGATATATTTGGAAGGATAAGCACCTGAGCTACAAGCCATCCGACAAGCCAATCAATGTCACTTTTGTGATTGGAAATGAGAAGTGCTCGTTCTTTACCTGGAAATTCCTCAAACAAGGCAACAGTCAGTCGACGTGAGAGATTTGTAAATCAAAATGCCATCAAAATATTAATAATTGTCACCTCACCCATTAATTGAAAAGTTTCTGAATCTACATACAATTCAACCTGTAGCAGAAGTTCCAACTGTAGTTAGACCTTGATTAAAATCTAAAACCCAAGTACACTCATTGAACACGGGAATGCTTAATGCTCGCAGGGTCAATAGGGTAACATAGAAATGATCATGTTTCCTCTGCAAATTCAACCCCACAATTTATAAGCATAGTAAAAAAATTTCCAAAGATGTGTATGCATTGATTTCGACAAGGTTACAATTACTAAAAGATACATCCGTTATATGGTTGGGAAAATGAGACGTAAAGGCATGAACACAAACAACTAGAAGAAAGAAGCACACCTTGATGCCTGCCCACCAATCAATGAGCCATATGAGTTCCAACCACAGCAATTCTGCTACTACTTTGTTGATCTTTCTATACATACTCTTTGATACAGGACGAACAAGGATGGAAAACACTATCTGAAAGCGCATATTGAATAATCAATGGAAAACACCGTTCTTTAGTTTAGTGAGGTAAAAACCATGTTGTAAGTCACTGGATAAATGGGACGATCTATAGAGCATGTAAGTCAACGACGAGTTTTATTTATTTTTTATTTTTTTTGACAAATGATAGCGGTAGTGGGTTAAATTGTTATTACTTATTAGTTGTAAAAGGGAGGGGAATCGGTGACAATCGAACCCGCACCAAAATGCATAGGCTTGATTGCTTTCCGTCACTAAGTGTCATCTGCAGTCAATAACATGTTTGTAACTGACCACTGGATTTTTACCCAGCAACTTAGAACAGTACGCTTCTGTAAAATTACGTAAAGCTACATATTTGAACATTCTTGTATGCGTCTATGTGTGCGTGTACGTGTGGCATGGAAGTGGAGGACCTTATGCAGCAAGGATGCCATATGTTGAGCCAAAAGTCGTTCTTTTCTGATGGTGATGAATAGATAGAAGGTCTAAGCATTATGGAAATTTTTCAAATTTAAATATAAATAAGAGTGTTCAGATAATTCATCTTTACAACTTTTTTCCAGTAAAAACATATTTAACAACTCGTATATTTGTGCCAATATGTTCCAAACTTGTACAATTGTGTTTCAAACTTACTATTGCGATCAAATTACTCGAAGAGATGGAGGCATTAATTATAGCAAATTGATTAATGAATGCAAATTATAGTCGGTTCTTGAGATCCCAGCAGTAACATCAGTATTACTATTCACCCATTTATCAAAATTATGTGACGTGAAAACCTCGAATTTCTTTGTTACGTGATGAAATAAAGCCATTGAATAACCACAAATTCTCATTTCACATCATGCGTTGTGGCATATGTTAGGTTTCAAAAATCCCAACGTTCTCCTTAACATGCAATTGGGTCATTCAATATCCATGCAACAATAAGAAGGGATGGCAAATTTTATTTTCCTTGTGAAGCAAGTTTTAGTTATTTAATTAATGTCATCAGATACGTACCTGCATGAGATTAACAATGAGGCCCGAGAGAACCAAGAGAACTCCGATGGGGACAATGGCAACTATAGCTGGGATGGCCATGGATTGTGAGGCGCCGCCACGGCAGCAGCAGCTTCTAATGCTGTTTGGCTTTGAGTTTGGAGACGAGACACAGATTCAATGGGAGGCAGAGAGGACACCGTTTTGGGGTCACAACGAAACGAGAACACAGCGTGAGAGTCTGAAAAGCGAACAGGAAGCCGCTTCAAACGCTCCATATGTCGTGCTATTACAAAGGGAACTCATCATTACATGACGTGCATGCGTTTTGACATTTTCTAATGGTCACTTTTCTTTTTCCAAACAAGAACAAAAATAAAATCACCTTTTTAATGGGAGATTGTGTAGACATGTAAATTTCGTTGCATGCAAATGATGCATCACAAAACCCCATGTGGTAGATGACTCATCACAAATGGACAAGTCATCAATGACATGTGACACAAATCAAGCAAAGGAAGCTAAAAAGCATTCCTAAAATGCAGAAAGGGGGAAGAAATCTTCTTAAAATCGGCAAGGGGCCCAAATTGGTCCCAAAACCGGAATGAAAGCTAAAACATCTTCACAAAACAAGCAAGAATGGAAGATTGCTCGCAAATAGGCAAGAAAGCCCCATAGATTTCGGCCAAGCAAGGGAAAGTAGCTGAAATTAAGACACAAAACATGCCTAAATTCTCCCATGGATGAATCAAGACACAAATCAAAGCCAAATCCATCCAAATGCAAGCTTTGAGAAGTCTATAAATACAAGGTCCTCAGACAAGCATAAATGTCGATAATTTCTACATTGAAGGACCGAAATTCTCACAAAAGGAAAACCTCTGGCAAATCTTTGAAGACTAATATGCTGCCAAAGCTCTCTTCGAACAACGTACAACCAAAGCCGAAGCATTCCCTTGAAGAATCAACAAACACTTGTGCCAATTTCTTCAAGACTTTGTTGCAAGCTTAAAACTTGTAACGACGTTCGATTCAAGATAAGTCGCCAAGACCCTTGAATCAACAAAATCCCACATCAACATCACCTTTGCCGCAAGTCATACACAAACCTAGAGGTGAAGACTATCCACACATTGTTTCAAGCTCAAAACTTGAAGCAATCATTCAATCGTTCGTCCAAGATCAAGTCATCGCGACCCTTGGATCAACAACCTACACATCTACATCAAATTTGAAGATTGAATCAGAGGAAAATTGTAAACAGAGATTGTAACCCTACAAATTCATCAATACAAATCTACTTCGTACACATGTTCTCGTTTCATTCGTTACAGAATTTTTGGGTTTACAAATTTCGCACGCCTAGTGGGAACTTTCTGCTTCTCATCTCTATCTTCAAATCCACAAGAAACACACATGGCATCAAGAAAGGATCAAGCTATTCCCGCAACTAATGCGAAGAACAAGAACATCCTTGTCGCAAGTGGTGGCACTTTAGGCGTCACAACCCAAAGCAAGGCAAGAGCTCTCTCTGCCATGCCTTCCACTCCTACATCAACTCTGTCAGATGAGCAAGAGCACCCAAGGCACAAGCCCGTGATCAGGCCTCGCTAAGGGCGCTAAGGGAAGAAAGACTGAGGATGTACTCCGAGTCGGCGACTTCCGATGTCGACTTAAGCAGCAGCTTGTATCCCGTAGCCATGCAAGTCATGATTACTAGTACGACTTCAATCAAAGAGCAACTGGCACAAATGAGCAAAGCAATCGCAAGGCTGACAAGGACCGTGGAGGAAAATGACCTGCAGATTACTATACTCGTCAACTGTTTGAAGGCGCAGCACGACGAGAAAGCTGACCCAAAGGTTGATCAACCAAAGAAGGAAATTAATGAAAATGAGGAGCCTCTGATGGACATAACTGAGAAGAAGTTAGAGGTGGACCAAGCTACGATGCTTATGGGATCTCTCTTTATCCAACAGCTGCAAGAGATAATCATAAGCACGATCATGGTGCAATATGAAGGAAGCTCGCATAATTTCATGCTATACTCAAAGCCATACTCTAAAAGGATTGATGCCTTAAGGATGCCAAAGGGTTATCAGCCGACCAAATTCATGCAATTTGATGGAAAGGGCAATCCTAAGCAACATACTGCCATTTCATTGAAACCTGCAACAATGATAGGACGGAGGGATACTACCTTTTCAAACAATTAGTATGCTCGCTAAAAGGTAACGCCTTTGACTGATACACCAACCTTGACCCCGAGTCCATCAACAATTGGGATCAGCTTGAAAGGGAATTCCTCAATCGCTTCTACAGCACCCGACGCACCGTAAGCATGTTGGAGCTAACAAGTACGAAGCAGTGGAAGGATGAACATGTCGTTAACTACATCAATAGATGGCGTTCATTAAGTCTGGATTACAAAGATCAGCTTTCTAAAACCTCCGTCATTGAGATGTGCGTTTAAGGCATGCATTGGGTGATATATTACACCATCCAAGGCATAAAACCAAGAACTTTTGAAGAATTGGCAACTCGATCCCATGACATGGAGTTAAGTATTGCCAATCATGAGAAGAAAGAGCTGATCATTGACTTGAAAAAGGATAAAGTGTTCACTCTAAAGGTAGACAAGACTGGGAAAAAGCCCGCCAAGGAAACTTTTGTCGTCTATACTACCCTTGTCAAGACCTCCTATGCGCTCGTCAAGATCTCCTCCAAAAGCAAAGCAAAAAAAATGAGATGAAAAGTAAGCCTTCTCATACCCAAGATAGGTACAAAAATACCTTGAGGGAATTGGAGCAGAAGACGTACCCTTTTCTTGACTCTAACGTGGCTGCAATGCTAGATGACTTGCTGGAAAAGAATGTAATTGAGTTACCTGAATCCAAACGCCCAGAAGAGATGAATCGCATTAACAATCCTAGATACTGCAAGTATCATCATATCGTGAGTCATCCTGTTGGCAAGTGCTTCGTCCTCAAGGAGCTCATCATGAAACTAGCACAACAAAGGCAAATTGAGCTTGACATTGAAGACACGGTCGCAACACATACTACTACGATTACGTTTGGATCTTTCGATCTCGTGCCTCTCCAAGTAACACCTGACTATTCTCGTCCATGCTCAAGCTACACGGCACCTTTTGCACAACCATCGTTGGGGACAAGTGACCAAAATGCACCTACGGACGATGAAGAAGGGTGGACACTGGTGACCTACAAAAAGACAAGGAAGCCAAGACCATAAGATACACGGCCAAAGGTGGAACAAAGAAGAAAGCACCGCTGCCGCAATAATAAGAAGCCCAAAAAGAACGTAAGAGCTGCTAAGCCAACATACGTAGGGGAACCTATGGAGCAAGAGCCGCGCATTCCCATCTCCTTGCACGAGTACTTCCCAAATGACTTCTTCTAACAATGCACTACCGCTGCCTATCACATGGTTGAAGTGGAGATAGAAGAGCCCTCAAAAGGCAATGCTATCACCATTGAGGAAGAGAAGACCCCCACGCCCAAAGAAAGCCTATCGACACACTTTAGCATCGGGGAAACACTACTATTGCCTAATGAGAAGCGAAAATCACTAGTAGCAGTCTTGGCGAGTGCCGACGACCACAAAGTGCAAGAAAGCAAGGAAGAAGGCTTGAAACTTTGGCCACATGTTGTTACTGAGATCAAAGTCTCACAACTGTCATCTCTTCGTTTCTGGGTACGTAAGGGAGCACAAAGTCAACCGCATGCTTGTGGATGGTGGATTAGCCATAAACATCATGCCAAAGTCAACAATGACCACAATCTACATCAAGGTGGATGAACTATCCCGAAGCCACCTCCTCATCCAAGGTTTTAACCAAGGAGGATAAAGAATGATGGGCATGATCCAGGTGGAGATGACCATTGACGAACTCAAGTCAAGCATGATATTCGATGTGATTGATGCAAAAACTTCCTATAACTTGCTCTTAGGAAGACCTTGGATCCACGAGAATGGAATGGTGCCGTCCACCCTTCCTCAATGCTTAAAGTTCTACCGAGAAGAAATAACGGTGATACAAGGCGACACCAAGCCATTCACCAAAGTCGAATCACACTTTGCGGACGCCAATTTTACATGGATGAACACATGGTGCCCGAAGCTCTTCCAAAAGAAATCAAATCCATAGGCAAAGCCGCACCTAAGAAACATGAGTGACAAGCCAGGCCTAAGAAATAAGAAGGGGAAGCCATGCCATCTTCAAGCAAAAATGGCGATGAGCCTGCTAAACCCACAACAATCAAAGGGAGTGTGACGCCCTTAAAAGAACCAAACGCACCTGTCTTCTGATACATCCTAATGTTGAAAAGAAAGAATGGGCAATCCCTATTCGAAGTTGGAACAAGCAAAGTCGATACACAGCTGCACAAGGACGATGTAAAGCTGCTCAAGACAAATGCAATTTTACCTCTGACACAGCTAGGCAACGCTAAAGTTTTAAAACCACCATAAGGTTTCGTAAATCCCCTGCCAAATGGGGCAAAACCAAGCTCTCTTCCAACCAATAGGACTGAAGAAGGTTTCGAACCGAAACACCTACAAACTCATGTCAAAGGCTGGGTACTATTTCACCTCATCTTCAGATTTTGGACAAAAGAAGGCAAACACCGTCAACGACAAAGAATGTGACCTCACAGAGACTCAAAAGAAGTTAAATGAGCAAGGTTACGGAGTTGACAACAACAAAGCTAGACTTGGCTTCATACCAAATACACCTATGAAGATTTCAAGCAAAGCGAAAAACGTTAGCGCTCAACACATCGACGTGAGCATTGAACAAAATCAAGATGAGCCTAAACCCGCCCCTCGAACGTCAGTCTTTGATAGGCTGAATCGTTCAAAACCTAGAATTTCGGCACTTGATCACATTGGTGGTCATGACCGAACGTCAGTCTTTGAAAGGTTGTCAAAACCTAAGAAACAAAGCAACACGACTAGCTCTCATCCACGACAATGAGCCTTGGAAAGACTTGAAAAAACCAAGAAGCCTTCTAGGAAGAGGAAGACAATGCCGAAGGAAGAAAAGCTTGACGGTTTAACAGAAAAAGATGACATTCGAGGCTTAATTTCTTCAAGGATAAAGCGCCAAGCAACCTTGGAAGTCAACATAAAAGAACAACTAAAGGTAAAGAGGTACACCATCGTACATACTAGCCAATCTTCACGCCAACAAGCCTAAGGGGATGGCACTGAAG